GGGTTTACTATTGAGCCAGTAGAACAATCTTTCAATAACAGCCTCTGCCTCTTTCAAGCCTTTATTACACAGTATTAGCTTCACAAAACAATCTGCTCTGAAATGTGCCACACAAACCATTAAAATCAAACTGAAATCATCTAGAACCTTGTTAAATGTAAACTTCACCTACTCCTACTCTTTTGCTGGAATCATTCAAAACGATGCACTGCAGGCACAGCATCAAGTTTAGCAGACCTATTTTTGGCAGAATTTATTTACATGTTTCTCTTATCGTTAAATGTTTAGCATTAAGGAATAATTGCATATATGCTAAATTTCCTTTATTACCTCACGGGTTGTTATATGTTAATATGTTATATGTAATCATCTCACGTAAGGAACAAAACATTTTTGCTGTTTACTTTCAAATAAAAGGACTTTTAAAAGGACGTTTTGGACTGGGGTGGTTCCAGTATGAAAGTATGTTTTCATAATGCAATAAGCTCCTTTATTTAAAATAAGATGAAAGAAAAATTTATTGTTCCTAGCTTATAATCATGTACCATGGTAAATTAAATGTGCAAAGCATAAATGTAACTCTATGGGAAGTATCTGAGGCAGCAGACATAATGGATGACAAGTATGTTTGATATGAGATTGCACGTCATGGAAAGTGTGCACATCTCAGTGGGCTGCATGTCATATTAGAATGTTTTATGACTACTGCAGACTACACTCAATTAAGTTTTGTGTGCATCCCATGAGTTCCTTCATCTGATCTTTGAGGATATCCCCTCAGAGTAAATTTGTTAAAAGTACATCTTGCTAAAACTATGTGCACTTTTTGGTGAGAATGAAATCCCAAACTGCAATGACTCAAGTCAGACATGAGTAAGACAAATTATTGTTTGAGAACACCTTAAGGCAGAAAAGCAGATACAATAAGCACACTCACACTAATAAAAAATAATTCTGAGAGGCTGAGAAGCAAGTAGACAAAAAACAGACAGTTTTAAATATTATGAATTCTGTGTGTTTATCTTGTTGTAGCAAAATCTTTTGAACACAGAAATGGTTTAGAATGATTTAGTCTCTTTTCTTTTTTCTACAACTCCAAGTGAAAAACGCGACTATGCTGCTTCACATTTACGCGTATGTCAGAACAATACGTTAAAGCACCTTCTCTTTTTTTTCTGACCGGGAAAATGAGAGGATCACTGTACAGAATACCATCATACATTCTTATATATTTTTTTATACAAAAAAGTCATAGAAAGAATTATATACCAAGAGCAGTAACAAATTATAAACAATGGATGTTGCAAATCTAGAATGTGGCTTAAATGTTTAGTTAAAAATAAAAATAATACTACTAATAATAATGAAATAAATTAAGAACTGAAAGTTGCGTTTGTTTATCAATATCTTTCTGTATATAATATAACTGTAACAGTAAAACATAATCAAAACCATATACAGTGACATTGTATCAGACAAACAAAAAGGCAATGAAACTGTTAGCTTTTCACAAAATAGAAAAATAAAGATTTTTTTTTTTTTTTCAAAATGAGAAAAATAGACATTGTATGTTATGATCCTTTGAGTAAAACTTCCTAGGAACACCAGATCTATAGTACACACTTAACAAAATTAAATAGCCATGTTGATGTCTGAAATGCAATTTAACACAGGATTGGCTAGATAATTTATTTTAAAAATCAGTAAAAAAAAAATAATGTGTCATATTTAGCAACAAGAAAAAGGAAAGGTCATAGAACCCTGACCTTACAAAATCCAATTCTGATTGAATACTGTATCCTCGCCAAAACTATTGCCCACCTGCCTCTGCCCCCCTCCCCCTGTGCAAGACAGTAACAATATTTAGTTGTAAAGCATTACACTCGTAATAATGTTTACGACTACTTTCAAATTTCACTAAAATGTACTAAAAATGCACTATAGATGTGTTCATAGAAAGTATCACCACATTTTGAAATGGTAAAATTGGAGATAATGACTATACATGATTTATCCAGGTCTGTAACATTTTCGTTTGTCATTTAATAATCATGTAACCAACACTTTTCATTCAAATCAACTTGCACTGCACTAATAGCAAGAGAGTCCCCTTGGAGCAACCTGAGGTAAAGTGCCATCGCTCAAGGGCACAATGATGACAGAAGAGCTCAGTTTTTCCCCAGTTCATGACCTCTGTGTGAAATTAAGCTTGCCGCAACCATTTGGCACTAATAAAGGTTTATACACAAAACTTTGATCCAGATCCTGTCCTAAATGTCTTTCAAAACATATTGTCTAGCATAACACTCTGACCTATAGTTCAGGCTTAGGTCTTGAGGGGCTTGTTGTGGAAAGTACAAAAGTAAATCACCAACACTAACAAACTAATCTTACAGAGGGAATAGATCGATAGTTAAAGTGTTAGAAAATAGGGGTGGAACGGTTAAACTTAAACTTTGGTTTGTATCACGGATTTAGAGTTACAGTTTCGGTACGGTTCAGTATGTGCTATGTTTAGGCAAAAACTATACTGTCAAATAAAAATAAAGAAAATAAGAATATTCTATCTAACTACAAGCAACAACACAAATAAATACAATAGAGTAAAGATACAAATAAAATAAACAGTGATTTCCAGTTTTTTTTAGGTAGGTCTAACATTAGTTTTTAGGTACAGAAGTTGAATAAAGTAATGAAATGTAAAACAGCATTGCATATTTGACTGTATAAATTAAATATGAATCGTTATTAAAGTTACAAAACCTATACAAGAGCAGTGAGTGATTTCTTTGTTGTCGAGGGAATAGATCGATAGTTACAGTGTTAGAAAATAGGGGTGGAACGGTTAAACTTACTCACGGTTTGGTTTGTATCACGGATTTAGAGTTACAGTTTCGGTACGGTTCAGTATGTGCTATGTTTAGGCAAAAACTATACTGTCAAATAAAAATAAAGAAAATAAGAATATTCTATCTAACTACAAGCAACAACACAAATAAATACAATAGAGTAAAGATACAAATAAAATAAACAGTGATTTCCAGTTTTTTTTAGGTAGGTCTAACATTAGTTTTTAGGTACAGAAGTTGAATAAAGTAATGAAATGTAAAACAGCATTGCATATTTGACTGTATAAATTAAATATGAATCGTTATTAAAGTTACAAAACCTATACAAGAGCAGTGAGTGATTTCTTTGTTGTTGCTGTTTGATTAATATTAAGAAAGTGCTGTCACTTTAAGACAATGCACTGATCCAATGCACTGATACAGTATGTTCAGCCGGCTATGTCTGCTATAAGAGGATACTTACCAAGACGGGCATTTTGACATAATTTTTGTGTGAATTTGTCCATTCAAACTAGGGTGACCGTACGTGCCATTTTTCCCGGACGTGTCCTGGCCAGGATTTCTATATTGCCTAAAATATATAGGTTTTGGCTTTGTTTGCGTGTGTATATCGGTTTATGACATCAAAATACCATACAGACGGTTCCTTATGCTTTCAAGATGCTCTTGAGGTACTTTGATGTCAAACACTGATCGATCTGCTTTTAAGTCGAACACACATCCTATGTATGCGTAATTGCATCGCTTTGACCATAAATCCCACCTTCTCACACACATCATGATTGGTCCATTATGTACAATGCCTGCATGTTATTGGTCAAACTACTTTTCGATCATTACCTTCAGCAAGCATGAAAACAGGAAAACAAAGCCAAAACAAATCCTGGCAAGGACGCGTCCGGTAAAAATGGCACGTTAACTACCTAATTCAAACACAATACTTAAGAGAGAGCTTAGTATTTGCATGCGTTCTGAGGCACGGGTTTACACGCTTCAGATGAGCGCACCTACAAATCTTCTCACTGCGCGTGTGAACTCGTGACCTCTGGCTCTTAAGGTGAGACACTGCAGGTAAATAGGGTAAAAAAAATAACTAATAGTTATCGCCTTACTTACCCAGCTGATTGATTACATTGATAATTGCAAAAAAAACTTTGTATTACAAGTTTTCTAAAATGTTAGGTTTAAATATGCAAACTATTTAAATAAATCATTATTTAATGAAATATGCGCTAATTTGCACACATTTCTAGTACAAAAACCTAAACACTGGATTATGTCAGTTTCAAAATTCTTGTTTCATTTTTTTGAAGTATTAGAGTCAAAAGTTTTTACAGAGGGAATTTTGGGTATCTCTTTTTGGTCACTCCATAATTCAGAAAATGCTTAGAACGGACAGAAAACACTATATTTTCACAATTTTGGGGGAATAAAATGTTGCATATAATCAAGCAAATTATATATGAACAAATCCCTCTGTAAAAACCTTCAGGATATAGACAGGGATAAAAATTTAATGTCTGGTGTGTGTAAGTGCTACTGAAGTGGAGATTTATGGCTCAGTGTAGGAGAAAAAACTCATTTTGAGAAAACGGCCTTTAAAAATATGCATTGTAATTGAAATCTATTGACACAAATAAATAAAGTGCTATAAAAGAAACACTTAACAGTGCCTTTTGGATGTTTTCTTTCCACTAGTCTGAAAAAAACACTTTTTTCAAAAAGCCCAAAATCTCAAATTTGACAGGTGCTTTAAAAAAACAGTTTTTTGCCTGCAGTGTCTCCCCTTAAATGTTTAAACTGGCAAGGCTTAAATGAGTTTAGTTTAAACACAGATATCAACGTGTGCTGTTCAGGTTGCACCTGTGCGCGCCAGCAGCCGGGTGATGATGGAATAAATGCTCATATTCCAGCATACGGCATTCGCATTGAACAAGAGTGAATGGTTTGTCCACGTTTTTTTTTTTTTTCACCGCTGTTGTAATGTTTTGGGAAGCCAGAATGCGCATCCATCAACAGAAACATACATTAGCCGAACCCTGTTTGTTTTACATGTTATTTATAGCAAACCATACTACAGATGCGTTGTCAGATTTAAGTTGAACCACGGTCTAGCACGTGCCGAACCGTGTGTGGAGAACCGTACAGTTCGATTTTTTTCCGTGAACCGTTCCACCCCTATTAGAAAATTAAAATTGAGGGGGCAATTACCATCATGGAAAATCAGGAAATCATAATCAAACATTATTTTGAAAACATATTCCAAGGGTATAATCATACCCTTGGAATATGCTTGCAAAATGTAATTTAATCAATTATTCACATAGTCATATAGCATGGTACTTTAAAGTATAGTGTGGCATTACAGAGGTACCATGTCTAAATCATGTTGGTATATACCATTTTTAAACTTTTTTTTTTACTTTTTAAAAAGGGTAGACAAAGGGGACATCGAACAGAGTCTCTTCTTGGTTGGGTATGCAACGTATTGGTTGGGTATGTAATATGTAGTAAATATCGCTTTGTATAAATAATATGTACCTCGGACAGACTGACTTGTACTGTGCTGTATCAGTACTAAAGGAAATTTGCAGCGATCTGATCAGACGACAGTCAGCTTTCAAACTCTGAAACTAAAAACAAATGTGACAGATGCACTGATAAACTGAAAAAGAGGCACATAATGTTAATAAACATCATAGACAATTAGCAGATTAAGTTTGCAGATTTGATTATGACAACGAAATCTTCCTGTACTTTAGATTTGTATTTCTCCTCAGTGTAAAATATGTATGACAGGCTGTACTGTATTCTTCAGTTGTTCAGGAAAAATGCGGGGGGACAACACTAGAATTAACTTAAAAAATAAAAACGACAACAAAAGAAAAATAACCTACAAAAATTCATTACATTTGCATTTCTTTCTTTTTTTCATTTCACCTGCTAAATTATGTAGTCCTGTCTCATGGGAACGTTTGGTCCAATGTGATGCACATCCACTTAGCTGAAGAAAATCCTCTTGGCAAACTGCAGTGCACAGTCGGATAAATTATCTTTTTTATTCCCCCTGCTTTTCTGAGATACCCCCATATCCCTTGTTCTTGGGTATTTATTCATATCTGCTTTAATATTTCAAGGCAACTGGAGATATCCTTCGTCCAGCTCTTAATAAACAGGACCAGCCCTGGCCTCGGCTGCTTGCCTAGCTCGAACACAAACCTTTGAACTTCTTTGTGATCAAATGATAAGAAGGACAATATTGACATGGAAAAATCATGCATTACACAGTCATGGCCACTGCTGAGGTGTCTTTTCATTACAGCCATTTGAGTCCTTCTTTATGTCATATGATGCAGCAAGTTCATATCCTTTTCACCAGACGAGTTCGGAGAATGGGTTGTTTTTTGTTCTTTTTTGGCAGAGCTAATCCGATATCCCTGTCAGACTGTACTCTCCATAACCCACTCAGAGCTATCAAACGGTGCCTTATCCCCTTCCCCCTCACTCTCGTCGCACTGCAGGAGCATACCGTTGACCGAGAGACTCCTCTTAGTCCAAATGTTGCTGATGCGTCGTGGGTAACTAAGGCACTGTGAAGCACCAAAGTCTCCCATGTCAAACGAGTGGCTGCGCTTGGGCTTGTTCTCTGATGGCAGCATTACAAGCTTCCCAAGCTTGGAATCTCCCTGGCCTAGCAGAGGCTCCTTGTCAGTGGGCGGCCTCATGCCCATTGCCATGGCCCCTGAAGAAGATGGTCCTACCGGATCTCTTGCGGGAACCCTCAGGTCCAGAGAAGCAAATGCCCCTAGCAGGTTATCCAGGTTTGGTCGTGCCTTAGTTGATGATTGCGTCCACCTGTTGGGCAAGGTGTTAGAATCCACGTGTCGATTGTAAGACTCGACTTTCTCACTTCCAAGGGAGTCAGCCGAGGAGGATGAAGAGGACGAGATGCTACTCTGCAAGGAGCCACACTTAAACTCCACCACTTCATCTCGCATCACCACTACAGTCTTTGGAGCCTGCGGTGTAGGAGCGCCATTGTTTAGTCGCTGTGTAGCCTGTGGTCTCCCATTGGTCTGGGAGTAGGTATTGCTCACCGTCACCAACTTTGCAACCTGCAAGCCACTGTTTACTTTATAGCGTACCATAAGGATGACGATAAAGACCAACAAAGTGGCTACGATCACTCCACCAATCACCAAGATCATGGTTCCTCCCCACTGGAAGGGGAATTTCCAGTTCTTGACTACATCTGCTTTGGTGTATTTCACAACTTACACAAAGATATTGTAAGGATTCAGAAGACTTGGAATATAGTGCATAAGTCATATGGACAACTTTATGCTTTTGCATTCCCAGTCATTGCAAGTGCATGGACAAGAAAGACAAGCATAGTATTAAGACGTTCAGTTTGTGTTAAAGGAAATTAAAAAGTAAAAGGGCAAGTAAATAAGACAAAATAAAAAATTTTGGGGTGAACGAAAAAAAAAAGTACTAGTGAGTTGATTTGGTTATTTATCTTAGGCCTTTCCTAAAACTAGCACATCATGGGATCCCATGTTTTGTGTTAGAGACATCCTTTACCACACTAAAACCACATCTAGCAGTGCAGCCTGACACATTTTCTACGGTAAGCCTCTATGCCAGCTAGTCCATTACTCATTCATAATTGCTTTCCCATCACAGGAGAAGACGCTACATTCAGTGGTGACAGCTTTACGAGAGAGCCCAACCTTTTTCCACTCGAGCCTTGTGATTGATTTTTTTTTCTTTGTTGTTGCCAGCATCCAGGCTAACACTGCTCTTCCAAGACAGGAGGAAGAAAATAGATCTATGGATAATACCACATGCAGTTCACTAGCACAAAGTCATTAAAGGGGTCATGAACTGCAAAATCAAAAGTCCCTTGATTTATTTTATATATAAGAGGCGATTGTGCTATAAAAAACATTCTGGACGTTTCAGAACTCAAAACTTTCTTGTTAGTCTAACAACAACTTATATTGAACTCAATCTGCCAAAACAACAGGTTGTGGAATGTGCCACTTTATGACATACTGTAATCGTGTGGCTAAACAGTGCCTTCTGTTTAGCCTCGCCCACTGAATAACGAACATAGTACAGTAGGTAAATGACAAGAGCGGAAAATGCAGGTCTACACAGAAACCAAATGATAAACTGTATTTGATGAAGTTTATTTATAAAGAAGATCCAGACCGCGTCAGTAGGATATTGGTCCTTTGTTCACTAAATTTTACTGCAAATTTGTTTACAAACAAGGCACAATTCGACGCAGGATTTTCAGAAAGATTGAAACTAAAAAACGATGCTGTGACTACTATATTGGATCGAACCACACAAGTGTGAGTAACTGATCACTGTGATCACTATCTATGAAGGATGCAGGCTGTCAAACACACACCACCACTAGCCAATCATACCAGTGGGCATTTACTTCCAAGTCTACAATCTGCCATACCTATTCAAACAAAGTGTTCCAAAGAGTGGGTTAAAACAGGACAGAGAATACCCTATTGCTTCTAAATTATGTTTTTTTTTTATGTAAAAAACTTGATAACATTATAAGTGGACCTCAGAGAACAGTACAAAAATCAAAACAAAAAACAAGGCAGTTCATAACCCCTTTAAGTAATAGAGAGGCACCAGAAAATGAACCGTCATACTCATTCTTTGTAGATTATATGTTTTTCACAAGTCAGGGAAACCAGATAGCCTAATGCTTATGCATAGCCTTTCATATTTAGGCAGTTTGAAAGGGGAACCCATCACTTTGATTATAAACTGCTGTAGAACATGTAGATATAAAGAAAGAAGTAAGAGAAGTGAGCTGAAATTAAAATCAAAATAATAAAGCATATTATAAAAGCTCATGTTGCCTCAGGCTTCTAATGGTGATGATCATGATGGTTGTATTATGCAAAGAAAAAAAGCCTAGAGGTAATAGGGATTTCTACACATTTTTTATTTCACACAGAGAAAATGTTGCATTCGATTAAAGGATGGAGAAACCAATCTTTCGACAGCTAATAGAGGTGTATTTAAATAAATAAAAAAAATGTCTGTGCCTTTTGACTGTAATACAAATTGTATTTATTTATTTATTCATTCATTTATTTATTTATTGTTTAAAAAAACAGTCTACATACATATTGCTTATAGTTTTAAGCATACGATCATAAAAAGGTTTGCTTCTATTGCAAATATATTTTGATTACACTTTATGTTACAGTATGTGTACTTACAGTGTAATTACTGGGTATAAGGTAGCTACATGGGTTACGTTAGGGGTTGGTTTAGGGTTAGTACAGTAGTTATTACCCAGTTATTGTAAGTGCTATAATAAGTACATATAGGCGTAGAACAGGACTGTAAAATAAAGTGCAATCAATATATTTTATAGAAGAAAAAAAAATACTAGCACATTTGCATTTATTTATTTACTTATTTATTTGTGTGTTTGCCAAAATACTCCACAGGCAAGGAGGAATATGGATTATCAAGTGCTGTTGGTGGGTTTTATTATTAGAATTATTAGACCACAAGTACTTTCACCAGCTAAATTTTTATTTAATTGTGCTGTAGTGTGTCAGTAGGAAATATCAGTTTACATTTCCAAACATTCATTTTGCCATTAATTGTAATAATCCAGTGAGATTTTTGTTTGCACAATGAGTCTGACAACAGCCAGTGCTCCACAAAGAGATCTGATCTCTTCATCATTATCAGTCTGTCTGGAATGACATGAAGAAACAGAACAAACAGAGACAGACTAAATCCAGAAGAACTGTGGTAACGTCTCCAAGATGCTTCAAGAAACCTACCTGCAAACTACAATACTGTTAAAAGTTTTAGGCCCTTGTGTAAAAATACTGAAATGAGGCTGCTGTCAAAAAAAATTGTCATTATAGATTATAAATTATAAATTGAATTATAAATGACATAAATAGATTTTCTTTACCAATTAACTTCTACTAACTAAATTAAATCAACATTTGGTGTGACCATCCTTTGCATTTAAAGCAGCTTTTACCCTAGGTGCTCTTGTGCATAGTTTTTCAGGTAGTTTTGCAGGTAGGTTTCTTGAAGCATCTTGGAGACGTTGCCACAGTTCTTCTGGATTTAGTCTGTCTCCGTTTGTTCTGTTTCTTCATGTTATTCCAGGCAGACTGGATAATGATGAGATCAGATCTCTGTGTGGAGCACTGGCTGTTGTCAGACTCCTTGTGCAAACAAAAATCTCACTGGATTATTACAATTAATGGCAAAATTAATGTTTGGAAATGTAAACTGATATTTGCTACTCACACACTACAGCAAAATATAGAAATAACTGACTTAAAACCATTTTTAGCTGGTGAAAATTGTAGTGTTCTAATCATTTTGGCCACCATTGTACATAATGTGTAGGTAACTGATTCAGTAAAGGGTAAGTGTGCCATTATTGTCTTAGCTATTACACTCACAGAACACCATTAACACATTTGAGATAGGCCTAAATATGCATGTGAGTGGTCGATTAAAAAAGATACAAAAACAATGTCTAACATAACTAGCATAAGTGAGTCACCTTTTAAATGTCACTATAGTTGCTATCTTCAGTGTTAACCTATTAAACAGTATCTGTTTAAATGAACTGAATTCAGTTTTGAGTTATAGAATACATCATTTATCTTTAAATGATAATTTCCACAAATATTAAGAAACAAAATAAAGTGCAGGTGAAAGCACAAGCCTAATTAGTGTGTAGTT